TAAGTCTAATTATAAAAAGAAGTCTAGTAATAAAAAAATTTATTTATATTAGACTTTATAAAAATATTTACTAAAAATATTTAGACAATAACTTGTAACACTTTTGAAATTAAAATTTAAATATTCTAAGTAGTTTAATTTTATATAAACTCTATTTGAAAATTTAGTTGATTTAAATTAAATTTAAATAAATTAATAAAAGCTATATATTTAAGGATGAATTTGTTAATTTAAAAATTTATAGGGGTATTTAAGTTTATCGCTATTAATACTTTTGGAGGTCGAATTTTTATATATAGATTTTATGTATAAAATCATAAGAAATAATATAGTTCAAGGGCTCAATCACACATTAACCCTACTAATTTTGATATTCTCTGTTTCAACTCTCAATTGAAGAAATCTTATTCTGTATATGTAGTTATTTCTTCTAACTTGTCCATTATCTTATGAAGCAATTACTAAAAGAATCGGATGGTTGAAGATATATAAATTGAAAAACTTTTGGCCTTTTTATGTTTAATTTGTTTACTACTAAACAGTAATATGAAAAAAAATTGCTCTATAATTCTAAAAACAGGATTTGGAGATTATCGTAAGGGAGAGATCGGTCGAACTAGTGTTAAAACTCATCCGGCCAGCTTCAAGTATATCCCAAAATGGATGCTCTGCCTCATTTTCTTCAAGTACTTCCGTAGCTATCTAGGTTTTTGCATGTTATTTCTTAATTTTGTAATCTGACAAGGATAAGATTTGTTTTCTTTTTTCGGGCTGCTCAGCTTGAATATTTTCTCTGCAATCAACGCCACTTGCAGAGACAAAAACATATGAATTCTAACAAAATGGAATTTCAACTTATTCCAACTTGGTTAAGTCATGTCAAGATAAGCTTGGACTAAGAAAACGGTCCAAGAACGATACCTGTTCGCCCTTTCTCATATTTGTCAGGTATACAAGCTTTCAAGCAATCATCATACTTCTACTTTGTGATGATAATGTTGGGAATAATGACTCAAATCTCGTAAGAGATTTGTTTGCGATTTGTTTGAGATTTTTCAGATATTGCTTGATGGACAAGAAGACTTGCAAAAGAATAATTATAAGAGAAAAAAGATTCTTAATAGGTAAGTTTGACTTGCAAGAGAAGAGAAAAATTCTAAAAGGAAATGGATTCTTAATAGGCAAGTTTGACTTACAGGAGAAGAATTCTAAGAGGGAGAGTGATTCTTAATGGGCAAGTTTGCATGGTTATAAATACGTGAAGTCTCTACAGGGTTAGGTATGAGAAAAAGATGTAAGAGAGCTATAGGATTTTGTGGGATAGACACCCCATAGAAATATTGGGGCTCTACGTCTTATGGGTGTGTATGTTTATTTATGAGTGGACTAAAGGAGACTGAGAGGGTCCACATAGGTATGATGTATGGGAGCATATGGTTATGTGTTTGGTTATGTTGAAAGGGTGCACAAGGGTTTGGGTTTGGGTTTGGGTTTGTTTGGATTGAGAATACTTAATAGGACTAGAGGAGACTGAAAGTATCTTATGAGTATTGATTGTTGAGTGAGGTTGATGATTTGATGTCAGTTTGTAATTCTCTACAACTAGTGAATCTTGTTTCTCATCCGTAAATATAGGTCAGTTGGACCGAACCACGTTAAATTGTTGTCTCTTGTCTGTTTGATTTTATTGTTTGATTTCGTTTCCGCTGGTGTGATTGGATTGGAGGTTTTTAGCCTAACAGATAAAGGCCGCCTTCGTCTCTAGAATATTAAGAAGAATAAGGTTTTGTTAGGATCTCTCTCTCTCCTGACCCACTCTATAAATACCAGCCTGATCCTTCACATGGGACTCCACATCCCACGCGTAAAACACTTCAGTAGCTAGCCAAGCAGAAAAAAAAAATGAGGTTCTTGGCTCTGATTCTGTTCGTTTTGGCATCTGCATTAAGGGGCTTGGCTGATATCAGTCCGCTTATCAGCCGCGACCTGTTCAATGAGATATTAAAGCATCGTAACGATGCTAACTGCCCTGGCAATGGTTTCTATACATACGATGCTTTCATTGCCGCTGCCAACTCCTTTGGCGCTTTCGGAACCACAGGCGATGTTGATACTCGTAAAAGAGAAATTGCTGCGTTCTTGGCTCAAACTTCCCATGAAACTACAGGTTCATTTTTCTCATTAAAAAAAATTAACTTCTTGATTGTCTCTATTATCTCCATAACTTTAGTCTTGCATGCGTGGTTAATGGTTGGCAGACATTAATATTTAGTTGGCAAATAGTTAATGGACGGCATAATTAAAGGGGTACTTCACAATTCTTGTATAGGTGGGTGGGCAACTGCACCGGATGGTCCATACGCATGGGGATATTGCTTCGTTCGGGAACAGGGCAATCCTGGAGATTACTGTGTTGCAAGTCAACAATGGCCTTGTGCACCGGGTAAAAAATATTTTGGCCGTGGTCCAATCCAGATCTCATTGTAAGTGTACTTGTTTCGAGTGAATTAACTAGATTCAGAGTTGTGACCCAAGAAAATTACTATTAAGGCATTTTTGTTAAACAACAAGCATATATAGCTCATTTGGTTTTCATTTTCCATGCATAACTATTGACTAATCACAAACATAAGCATAGTGTGTTTAATCTTTTTAATAGAAAGTTCGTTGAATTTAAAAACATATTTTACCCTTAAAATAATAAAATATGATAGGATTAAAAAGCTGGGAATATGGGGGGAAAATTGCTTGTTGAAAAATGAAAATCCTTACTATATCTTGACTTGACCTTGACCTTGACTTTGGCAGCAACTACAACTATGGTCCAGCAGGAAAAGCAATAAACGTTGATCTGCTGAACGACCCCGATGCGGTGGCAAGGGACCCGACCATTTCTTTCAAGACAGCTCTTTGGTTCTGGATGACACCACAGTCACCAAAACCTTCGTGTCACGATGTCATTACTGGTCAGTGGAAGCCATCCGCCGGAGACACGGCCGCCGGTCGGGTCCCTGGATATGGGGTCATTACCAACATCATCAATGGTGGCATCGAATGCGGCAAAGGACCTAACCCTCAGGTTGAGGATCGAATCGGATTCTATAAGAGATATTGTGACATATTGAAAGTGAGCTACGGAAACAACCTCGACTGCTACAATCAAAGGCCCTTTGCTTAGGCACTTTAATAATTAATTATGAAAGAAAAGCAATTATCAATCACATTATTATAATTATTAAAATAAAAAAAAAATCCGCTGCTAGTACATATATATCATCATATATGTATGTGAGATATTTACCATGTTGATCTGGAATAATATCAATATCAATAAATAAAAGGAGCTCGTCCTTAATTTGGTGATCAATATTTTGGTGATATGATGTGTTAATTCTCTTAGTTTTTTTTTATGTTGTAATTATTAAACAATTAATTAATAAATTAATATACAATTAAAATAGAAAGACTTAAATTTAAAACTTCAAATTTTAAGATTTTTTTTTCTTATCATTAAATCAAGACTTCATTAACAAATATTTATTTTTGAAGAAAGGGTTTCCAACACGACTAAGTCAAAATATAACATAAAATCCACTTATGCCATGTTTATTGACAGATTAAATATATGGTTTGATATGTATATTTACAAATTACGAAAATGAAAAATTAAAAATTGTGAAATTTAGTTAAAATTCAATATACTTATGTCTTACAGATAATATATTAAAAGAAAATTGGTTTGAGTTTCTCTTTATTTTGTTTAGAAATTTCAAATTCATCGTTAATTAAATAAAGTTTTAACAAATTTTAAAATTTTAAAAATAATCATAAATTTTATTTTTTAGTATATTATATTTTTATCGCATAATTTATGCTAATTTAGAATATCTAAATCCCATTTTCCTTAAAAAAAAAAAAAAAAAAAAAAAAAAAAAGTCCCTTTCTTTGAAACTTCCTTGCTAACATAAAAGTACAATAATTTCTTCGACTTCATTTAAGAGATTGGTCCCTTTTTTTATGCATTAAAAGATTGGTTTAATGATACGGAATAAAATAATATATATTTTAAAAATATAATTAATGTGTTGTCTTCTTTTAAATATTAATAAAAGAATGCATTAAATATAATTTATTTCTTTTAAATAATATTTAAACCATAGTTAATCATACAAAAAAATTTATAGAGATTGTGGCTAATTTTCTCATTTTCTCATATTCTCTATAAAAAATTTCTTCTATTAAATGAAAAGATGATATATTTTTAATTGTTGCTTCATTCATATTACTATCATTCAAAATAACTTTTTTTTTTTAATATTTTGATGCTAATCAACATCTCAATTTGGAAAAAGTAAAGAATATTTCACATTTTTCATAAAAAATTTCTTCTAATAAATCAAAAGATTATATATTTTTAATTGTTGTGTCATTCTTATTATTATTATTTTTCAAAATAACTCTTTTGATGTTTTGATGGCAATTAGCTTCTTCACTTGGAAAGAGTAAAAAATATTATATGGGGACATAATAACCCAAATAATGTTTAATTCTATGTTGTCTTCATGCTTGAGTTTGAATTATGATATGATCTCTTTCATTTGCAAGTTTTGAATTTTATAGAGATAGTGACTAATTTTCTCATTTCTTTGAACTTTGAAGCAGAGCAATCGAAGTAGAAGGCTAATTAAAACGGTAAGAGCATTAAACTAATTAATGCATTGTTACAAAAGCATCTAAAATAAAATTACAACCGTAAAAGAACTCCATAAACATACAAATGCATGCATTTAAGTTAGATTAAACAAATTAATTATCATCTTTATTATACTACTGGCATGCATGCCTAATTGCTCAATACTAATTCACCACATTGCAAAAGAGGAATCAGCTTCTAAGTTTTCTGGTGTGTCCAATTCCTCTCCCTCCTCTGCTCCATAATCAAGGTCTTGCAGGGACAAGGGCGTATTATAGTTAATTTGAGTAACGAATCAGGAAAGGATTTAAGATGTCCTGGTGGCATGTTCTTCTGCCCTTTGCTCCAACACCCTCAACGGTGTTGCCTTTCTGTAAATTTTGCAGAGTACTATATCCTCCTGAATTCACATAAAATGGCTATACATATATAAATAAGTTCATTCTCCAATAATTGACAATCAGATAAGCTGATGCTAGTACCCTAGGAAAGGAGGTGCTGGAGAGTCTGTACTCGTTCATGACCCAATCAGTTCTGCAGCCTTTTGGTGCTTTCCCTGTGTAAAAAACCAAAGTTTTTCTGAGGCCCACCGTTTTTTTGGGCTTCTTGAGACATCTGATTTGGCGGTCAGACCCAGTTGCCTTCCAGTAGCCCTTCTCAGCTCTCCTGTTGGGCTTCCCAACATGACCACTTCTTTTGTCTCTGCGCACAAAGAAATACCACTCTCTCTCCCCTATCTTTGCCAGACCTAAAGTCGACACTCCTCAAATTTGGAAGCTGATGACAATTCTTGCTTTCTAGAAAAAGTAAAAAATAGCATATGTACTTATATATCCCTCACATAGTCACATTCATGTTACAACGACATCGACTTAATTACTACTACATGCAATCGATAATTAAAGAGACCGAAATGTTGGTTACCTGGCAAATCCCAAGGGTCATGTTCATAAATGTTGAGAAAACCAATGATGACGGACTGTAAATTTTTACCCAGTGCCGTTTCCTTAAGATAATAGTCGACAAGTTCTTCTTCTGTGGGGTGGAAGCGAAATCCTGGTAATGCAAGCTCTGGAGTAATATTTTCCATGTTAACCCAAGCACGAAAAATCAGATGACTCAAATTCGGGTTTGTTTCTCTTGGCTCTTGGGCAACAGGGTTTTATATTAGAGAGAATGATTTGGAGAGAAAAGAAGGCCAAGGGTCTTCCAATTATGTGGAAAATTTGAACGTAATTATTCAAGCTGCGGGTCTCACACGCTTGATGTGGATGGTAAACCCTTACAAGAGAAGCTTGTTTGTTTTTTTTCTCTCCTCGCACATTTTCCAGGGACATGTATCTGATAGTACTATTCCGATGCTTAAGTTGCCACGAAAAGTTATTTTGGATGAGAGTGAGATTTCGACGTTCGACCCCACCTTCACCTTGTCTAAGATGAAAGATGAACCCAACAACTGATTCGAATAACAGAGCCATGGCCCAAGGGACAAGATCGAAGCACGCAATTACTCTAAACCAAATTCATGGTGGGATCTTCTTTGGACGCACTTCTCTTTGCTTGGAAAGATGAACCCAACAACTGATTCGAATAACAGAGCCATGGCCCAAGGGACAAGATCGAAGCACGCAATTACTCTAAACCAAATTCATGGTGGGATCTTCTTTGGACGCACTTCTCTTTGCTTGGACACACAACTTCATAACTGCTGTCCGTTCCAAAATAATTACGTATTTGTTAGCAATATTAAATCTAAATTGTGGTTTGGTTGCGAAACACTTACTAATTTGATCAATTTTATGATTTGTAAACTATAGTGGAGGAGTTTGTTTTCTAAATATCTGAGTCAGACAAGAGATTAAGCATGCATGACTAATTCCTAATTTGCTTTTTTGAAAAAGAAGAAAAATATATAGATGGGTTATTTGAATTCAAAATAATTAATTGTGAGCCAAACGCAGTTATAATTCATTTTGAAAACTAAAATTTAGATGATTCTTTTTGTAAAAATCTTGAAAATTTCCAATAAAATTAACTTATGAGTTACAACAATAATTAGCCTTAAAAGTTATTTTTGGGGTAACGAAATTAATGTATGTACAATTCTAACTCTTCAATACTGTTCATATTCAATAAAAATTAATATTTTTAATTTAGTATTTTTATTTTTTTATTACATTCAATATTTTTATATTAATAATTTAGAACATAATAATTAATGATATCTTATTAAAAAATTTGATTAAAAACTTGCTCTTCAAAAGTTAAAATCTGTGTATAAACTTCAAACAAATGATACTTGTACTACATCCTCCCTACTTACGCTTGTTTGAAAAACAAAAAGGTGTATCTCAAAAAGTTAGGAGATGAGAAATCGTAGTCAAAGTGCGTGAATGATAAGGTTCAAGAAAGGAATTTTTTCATAAATTTATTAGGTGTGACAAATAAATTTGTTTGAATTGATTGTGCATTGTGATTGTTAAGGTTCGTAAAAGACTACAAACACAAAGGGCAAATAACTTTGTTAGGATTATCAACGATTTGAGTTCACTTAGGTTCTTTCTTTCTTTTCTTTTTTTTTTTTTTTTTTTTGGGTCGGTTCACTTTTGATCCAACTTTACTCATTTTTCAAATAAGTTATACATTTATAAAGTTTTATTCAAATTAAAGCTGACCGAACCTTATTCAATTAACATTTGGATTGATCTTCATTTTTTTTTTTTTTGGGTAGATTGATTTTTTATTTTCTTTTTCCTTAGCAACAGAAGATTGAATTGGATAAGGTTCTTTTCCACAATGGCCTTTTTTTTTTCAAGAATATATATAAATAACAAAGATTGATTTATCTAAAAAAAAAGAACAAGATTGATGGTAAAAACAGAAAGTCCATGAAATTAAAAAGAAAAAGCAAAAAAAAAAAAAAAAATTTCTGCGCCAAATATACAATCAAAGAAACCTGCAACCATTATCATTTAGGACCTTAACGCTTAAAATACCAAGCACATACATAATCAATAATTAATAATAAAAAAATTTTACAACAAAGAAAAGGGATAGAATTTTAAAGTAAAAAGCTGTTTTCGCATAATGATTTTTATTTTTTGTCTAAAATTAATAGTTTAGTTTCATTGTCAAGTAATTGATGAATAAAACAAAATTTTAATTAATAAAAGGAATTCGATTTTCTTATCTTAGGCTTAGAATTTATAAATTATATTAAAAAAATAATGCATCTCAAAATCAAAAGTGAAATTGGAATTTCTAAAACAATCAAATGGAGTTCAACTTCACAAAGTAAAATTCAAACCGATAAAAAAAATAATAATTCAAAAGCTGTCGACAAAAATAAATAAGACCCTTTCACTATTGATATCGATGTTATTTTTATTTTTTTAATGAACAATTACTAAGCATCAACCTACAAATTTGAAAATCATAATAAAAAAATGTATGCACATATGTAATGGAACTAGTAATAAATAGAACACATGTTTTTTATATTATGAATAATATGATGTAATTCTATTCTTAAACATAATTAATCTAATTATTCAATTTATGGAATCATTCAATTGAAAAGGACATTTAAATTAGCAAAGCTTAATGTGTCAAACTCTTGTCAACCATGAAACATATGTATATACTAAAAAATAGCAAAAAATAGCCTACTCAAATCGCACAATATTTTAAATGAATACAACTATATAGCATCATTAAGTTTACAAGTTTATTGATAAATAATATATGAACGTTATATAATAGTCCAAGAACTCAAAAAAAGATATATATATATATATATTATATATATATATATATATATATATATATACACAGAGAGAAAACTTTGTCAATACCTTACACTCAAGATCAAAAGTCACTAATATGAAAACAACATATGAAGTGTTCCCTTTTAACATTCTCGAATTAACTCGTGTTCTACTTTTGAAATCAATTAACTAAAATTGACAATAATAACAACCTAATTAACTGAAATAAAGAAAGTGAAATAAAATTTATGTAAAAAAGAGTGTGACTTACTATGTCTTTCTTCTTAAAGACTATTCCAAAAGGACACCTAAAAGGTTCATGAAACACCGTTATGTGCTTTTCCATTTTTCTAGTTGGAAAGCTTGGCCACATCCATTGCAATGCACATAAATTTTTAGCCTTTCTAATCCTTAAATTAATTCCGCAACCAACATGCGGACAAACAACATTATGCCTACTACACCATGCTTAATGTAAAGTTATACTCCTACTTGAAAAAAAATGCTTGCAATATTGACACATCAGAAAATCAAGCATGTACAATCACCGATATTACAACAAAACAAGTGATGACATAGGGTTTTGATCTATAATAATATGAACCTAAACGTGATTAAAGTAGATAATAAAAATGAAGCTGAAAATCCATCCTTTTTTTGCCCAAAAAAAGTTGGAAAACCATCGTTATCAATAATTTCAAAGACAACTAATTGTAAAAAAAAAAAAAAAAAAAAAGCTTCACCGAGCAAAAGATCTTGAAATTCAAAGAAATATCCTTAAAAAAAGTCACGTAAGAATAAAAAAAATAAAAATAAGCACTAAAAAGATAAATTCATTAAAAAAGAATGATAAAGAAAATTACACTAATTACAAAAGATTACTTCACCTATACCATGATTTAAAAAAAATTAAATTAAAAAAGAAAAGTTTAATAAGAAATATCTAATTTTTCACTTTTCTTGTTTTTAGTCTTATAGTTAAAGAAGTTATCATTGTTGAAAATATTAACTCAAATCTCATAAAAGATTTGTTTGAGATTTGTTAGAGGTTTTGTTTGAGATTTGTTAGATATTGCTGGATGGACAAGAAGAGTTGCAAAAGAAGAATTCTAAGAGAAAAATGATTCTTAATAGGTAAGTTTGACTTGCAAGAGAATAATTTTAAAGGGAAAGAGATTCTTAATAAGCAAGTTTGACTTACAGGAGAAGAATTCTAAGAGGAGAAGGATTCTTAATGGACAAATTTGTATGGTTATAAATATGTGAAGTCTCTACGGGGTTAGATATGAGAAAAAAATATAAAGAGTTGTAGGGTTTTGTGATATAGACACCTTATAAGAGTATTAGGGCTCTACGTCTTATGGGTGTGTATGCTTGTTTGTGAGTGGATTAGAGGAGACTGAAAGGGTCCATATAGATATGATGTATGAAAGCATATGGGTATATGTTTGGTTATGTTGAAAGGGTGCACAAGGGTTTAGGTTTGTGTTTGTTTGGGTTGAGAATACTTCATAGGACTAGAAGAGATTGAGAGTGTCTTATGAGTATTGATTATTGAGTGAGGTTGATGATTTGATGTATATTTATAATTATCTACAACTAGTAGAGCTTATTTCTTATCTGTGGACGTAAGTTGATTGGATCAAACCATGTTAAATTATTATTTCTTGTGCATTTGATTTATTATTTGATTTTATTTTCGTTGATATGATTAGATTAGAGGCTTTTAGCTCAACATTCATATCTAAAAGAAGATTGTAAAATAACATATAAAAAAATTACATGATCGAATAGATTGCCTTGTCGGCTACGATGAACAACAGCAGGTTGGATCATTGTCGTAATAATGGTGACTCAGGATGAAAAGGGAATTTTAGGAAAAATCAATCAAATCAAAAGGTAAATAAGAAAGAATTGGGGAAGTAAGATTGATTTTTCAGTAACGGAACGATGACAATGACAAATAGGATGGCGGCGGGTTAATTTTTGTGTTTAAAATTAGAGCTTTAGGGATTTTATTTTATTTTATTTTTATAAAACCTAAACTAAAAAAGTAATAGAAAGGGTGAAAAGGCAGAAGTGGCTGAAGTATGGAGTGAAACCACCACCAGTGTGATTGTGAACAATGACGCCTAATGGCCTAAGAGGATGGTTGCTGATTGACATTTAATTTTTTGGAGAGAATAGTTCAAATAGGGAATGAATGAGGAAAATGAAATGAAATAACAAAAAGAAAGGAAAGAAGGGAAAAGAATTAAAGATGTGTCCCACCTGAGTACCCCAGCTTCTCATCATTCTCATTCACCCATTCTTTTGTCAGATTTCTTATTTTTTCATTCACCAATTCTTTTTAACTTTCTATCAATTTCCCTCACATCCATTTTTTATTCATT